CCTGTCTGTCTGTCTCTCTCTCTCTCTCTCTCCTCTCTCTTCTCTCTGTAACTCTGCCTTCCAAGTAAATAAAAATCTTTTTTAAAAAAATCTGATTAAAATGGTTGCTTAAATCCTTTCTGAAAAACTGTTTAAAAATGATAGATATAAAGAAAGAAACAAAGCACACAGTAAGTTTTAGCTGGCCTAAACCTCTGTGTAAGCCTAAGCCCCAGCAGGTGGGTGTACTTGAAAAGGTCCCAGCAGGGGACAGGAAAACCACAGGGACAGTGTGGTGCACTGAGCGGGCACTAAGGGCCTGGTTCACATCTCTCAGACCAGCGCAGAGAAGTTACTGGAAGCTGGGAGCAGGCAGGCACGTGGAGGCAGCCACCTTGCGACCAATGGCGGACTCTGGAGAAGGGGTGCGATCAGTCCCAGCTATGCCCCCTGGGGAAAACCAGGGGGATAAATACTGAGTCCTCCCCAGTCCCTCTTTTCCATGGAGAGTTAATGTTCATCAATGACTTCTTGCTGGCCAAATCCAAGAAAGAAACACTTCCCAGTTCTTTTCCGACGGTAACGCTCTCCAGCACCGGACAGTGCTGACCGCTTCCTTCACCTCTATGGTCTTTCCCTCCTTCCATTTTCTGAGACCCTCGTCTTCCTCGCTGACTGTTCCTCCTCTCGCGCCTTCACAGACTCCCCTTTGCATCCTGCTCCCTGGTGATGGTGTCCCCTGGAGTCTACAAGCAGCCCAATGTTTCATCTCTGTCTCCATCACCACCGCTCCCACCAAGCTGTCAGCTTTCCCCAAATGCCTTAGTTTGGGTTTCCTTGGAAGCAGATCCTAAAATAGAGACTTCAATGTGAGTAGATCATTTTGGAAGTGGTGCCAGGAAATCCCAGTAGGGGAGTAGCAAAGTGAGTCAGAGAAGAGAACGGAACCAATCAATTAACGCACTCAAGCAAGTTCTCCCAGGGGCCAAAGAGCTTCGTCCCATGGGGGGAGTCTAGAGTTCTCTCAGCCACAAGGCAGATGAGCTGGAGAATTACGCCACAGCTTCTGGGAGTCACTGGCTGAGGGCTACGCCCAGCTCCCACGGGTGGAGCAGCCCTTGAGGACAGCTGTTGGCAATGGACAGACGGGCCAGGATGGACCCAAGGGGTAAGGGCCAGAGGAACCTGGGTGGGATGATGATAAAAGCCGCCACATTTCTAACTCTCTACTTCTGACCCACATCTCCCTATTTCATCCCAGGTCCTACTCTGACCTCTGTTGTGGGATCTGCCTGCCCGGACCTTACACTTCCAGCCTCATCTGTTATCTTCCTGAATTCAGAAGCTGGCATCACATCCTTCCAGCAGACCCCAAGACAGGTACCTACTGGTCTTCTGTGATGTGCCGATGGGATGCCAACCTCCTAACACTTTCTCCAGCTCCCACCTCCCCTCCTAGTCTCTTAGTTCAAAGCTCCATTATTTTTTTGTCTAACCTATTGCAATCTACTCCTAATTGACATTTTGGTCTTTATCCTATTCACACTCACACGTCATGCAATCATCTTGCTCTGAACCCTCCAAGACCCTCTCAGGGACCTCTCCATTACCTAAAGTCAGGCTGTTAAGTCTTGGGTTGAGCACAGTGAACTGGCCCCGCCCTTTCTCTCCATGTCTCCTTCTTCACCCCTCTAAAACTGAGGGATATTCAAAGAGTTCATGGAATTACAGATTACGAAAAAACTATGCACATGGATTTCAAAATCTGTGTGCCAAAATGAACTTACTTTTTTTTTTTTTTTTTTTTTTGACAGGCAGAGTGGACAGTGAGAGAGAGAGAGACAGAGAGAAAGGTCTTCCTTTTGCCATTGGTTCACCCTCCAATGGCCTCCGCGGCCGGCGCACCGCGCTGATCCGATGGCAGGAGCCAGGTGCTTCCTCCTGGTCTCCCATGGGGTGCAGGGCCCAAGCACTTGGGCCATCCTCCACTGCACTCCCTGGCCACAGCAGAGAGCTGGCCTGGAAGAGGGGCAACCGGGACAGAATCCGGCACCCCGACCAGGACTAGAACCCGGGGTGCCGGCGCCGCAAGGCGGAGGATTAGCCTAGTGAGCCACAGCGCCGGCCGTGAACTTACCTTTTAACTGCGTTTTTCCACAGCCTTTTTGAAGCACCCCCTTCTATTCCTGCCCACAAGCGTGTATTCAAAGATCTCCGTGCGTGAGAGAGCGGGTCTTTGCAGTTGTGTGTCCTCCTGCCACGCTTGTCCTATGCCTGACCCACCTGGTCAACTCCTGTTCATGTCGTACATCGCTTTCTGTGCCCTGTTGTTCCAGATCTCCCAGGGAGACAGACACCTCATAGGCTATGCTTCCAGAGTAGTACCAATCAAACAGTAATACTCGCCTAGCTGTTGGGTGAAGAGTAACGGTGCCTACAGAAATCACCCAAGTACTTTACCTGAAAATCAGGACACAACAGAAGTCATGAAAAAGACAGATACAAACCCAGAATTGCTCACGATGATGATCAACGCCAGACATAAAGACCAAGGGCCCCCTTAAGAAATGGCTTCCTGGGGCCAGCACTGTGGCTCACTTGGTTAATCCTCCGCTTGTGGCACAGGCATCCCACATGGGCGCCGGTTTCTCCTCTTCCAGTCCAGCTCTCTGCTGTGGCCCGGGAGGGTAGTGGAGGATGGCCCAAGTGCTTGGGCCCCTGCACCTGCATGGGAGACCAGGGGGAAGCACCTGGCTCCTGGCTTTGGATCGGCACAGCGCCGGTGGTAGCAGCCATTTTGGGGGTGAACCAATGGATGGAAGACCTTTCTCTCTGTCTCTGTCTCTCTCTCTCTCATTGTCTATAACTCTACCTGCTAAATAAAAAATAAATAAATAAATAAACCTAAAAAAAAAAGCCTTCCTTCGAGGAGTCTGAGTTGGGAACAGATTCAGCCCTGGGACCCACCACACTGGCTGAAGCAAGAGGTTTTGAGCCACCTTTACATTTTATCCTCACTGTTGTTGTTATACAGTGGACTGTTCAGTCACATCTGTCCTGGGTCAATTTACGAGTAACAATAGAATCCAGGAACAATTTATCAGTAATGAATATAACCCAACCTGATTAACACTGTTTGTACTCCAGTAACCAACAGAATCCCATCTGATTAATACTCCTGCCCTCAGCCCTTGGAGGTCACTGTGCTGCTACCTTTGTCTGCCACGGCAGGATCTCGGCCTCGCTACCGAGATGAGGGGTTCCCCAGAAAGGACAGCGTCTTCCAGCTTTGCCCAGAGCCTAGAGAGGACAGTAACTGGGCACGCGTGAGGCATGCTGCCAGCGCGCTTCTCAGAGTTAGGACACAGCGGGGATTCTCTGGGCCTGGACGGAGGAAAACAGTGTGGGTGAGGAGAAGCCTACATAAACATATCTAAATCTTACTTCTCTAAGTCATTAGGCTTCTTTTCTTTCTCTAAACAGTACCAGGGAGTTCCTGATCTACCGCATTAGGATATGTCACCGTGGAGTACCAGTTTAAAGCAGCTTTCTAAACAAAGAGTTGGAAACACTTCCTTGGGGCCAGCATTGTGCTGTAATGGGTAAAGCACTGCCTGAAACACCAGCATCCCTCAAGGACGCCGGTTCAAGGCTGGCTGCGCCACTTCTGAGTCAGCCCCCTGATAATGACCCGGGAAAAGCAATGGAGGATGATCCAAGTGCTCGGGTCCTGCCACCCACATGGGAGACCTTGATGAAACTCCTGGCTCTTGACTTCAGCCTGGCCCCGTCCTGGCTGTTGGGGCCATCTGGGGAGTGAACCAGCAGATGGAAGTTCCCTCTCTCTCTGTCCCCATCTCTCCCTCTCACTAAATAACTCTGATGTTCAAATAAACAAATCTAAAAGAAAAAATCAGCACATTTAATCCCAAAATCTGGTAAGAAAACTCATGTCAAAAAATTCATCACAATCTTAAAAGTATGCATCTCTCTCCCTGGGCTTGCATGTCCGGAATCCATTCTCAGATATACTCTCCTGAGTCTTCTGCTGAGGATGGCAAAACTAGCTTTGTAATTCAGTTCCCCCAGATTCGACATCACAATTGGTTCCCTATCACAGTCTAGAAGCTGACTGCAGTTGCCTACAGGCAGTGAGGGAAACCAGCAGTCGCTGGCAAAGTTACTACCTCTGGAGAAGTCATCAGAGCCTTCAAGCAAGGGCACCGGAATACAGTACCATCTCCCAGAGGTTGCGTCTGACAATGAGAGTAACAAAAACCTTAGTGGAGCTTGTGAGTGTTGTCTAAAGCCTTCCCAGAGTGACCATTCCCCCTCTCGAGGACACTCGCCTTTATAATCGGTGGTTTCATGTTCCCAGAACAGACCCGAGAAGGCTGTGAACTGCACCAGGAATGCAGGGTAGCAGACTGCAGGACTAGACCAGTCTCTGATTTTTAATGCCGTCCCTTTGACAAGAGGTAAGAGATCCCTTTAAATCACTTACAGAAACTCCCCAGATCTCTGCCCATGCTTTGAGATACGAATTTAAAGCCTCGGGCTATTGCTTGCTTCCTGTAAGCCACGCAACACAGTTAGAAAGCGCCAGTCTGGCCTGCAGTCGCCACCTAAGCCCAGGAAGACTACACCCCACTCTGCTTGGTGCCATCCTGCTGTCTGCAGTCACTGAATGATTCCCAACTCCCCCTTTCACTTTCAAAAATGTCCCAGTTTCAACAGAAAATTGTTTTCTCCTCCATGCACCTGTAACTTCTCAGCCAGCCATGTACACCACCAGTAGACACTCAAGGCAACCACAGTGAAAAATCTGTCTCACTTCGGAGTGGCATGAGTATCAGTCTACCATCCCCAATGCTTACAGAGTTTCCACTGGTTTTAAGCCAATTGGAGTAAGACAACCCACCCTAGATTCTCACTTTCTTCAGAGTCTGTTTCCTGCAGTCGTGTTGACACGAGTATGTCAGTCAGGATTCTTGGTTGCAGACTACAGAATCTACTCCGGAAACCGTCAAAACAGAAAAGAATTTATTGTAACATGTTGTTCTTACAGAGCCGTGGGAGGGCTAGAACCAAACCTACGTTCACAGCCAAGAATAACACAGCCATAGGAAATGACAGACGTGAGTATGTCCCATCAGAAACTTCACTGTCATTGTCATCTACTGCTCGCTACCCAAGCTGGGACTCATGTTAGACCCATCAGGATGGCCAACCGGAAGATTCAACTTTTCCATGCATGACACCCAACCACCACCCAGTGTTCCCACCTGCATTCCGAGGCTTGGGCCAGGGTATCTGCTCTGTGAACCTAGTTTACGTACGGGACCCTAGTTAGGAAAGTGCACTGTTCTTTTTTACATTATGATCTCTCCGTCACAGGAGACAGAGAAGTTCTGGTGAGGATGGAGAGAGAAGCGATCTTCAGTTATCTGCCAAGAATGGAAAAAGATCGGGTGGGGGTGGTGGCTGCAATGGAAGAAGGTGTTGGTAAGAACATCAGTGGTGGTGCCAGCATTCCATTCGGGGGAGCTTAGGGGCCATCACCTCACTGGAGGGGGTCGGTGGACGTTTTTACAGAGTGGCACACTGCTCTGACTTGGCCCAGTAATGAGCAACCATTAACACCTCCATCAAACTGGAGAGTACGAAACAGTCCAGAGTGTGCTCCCAACTGCACTCCACTTCTGAACAGCACAGGGAACAAGCAGTCTTGAGTAAAGTGCTCTGCCACACCCACAGGGGTCTGCCCCAGACAGCTCTGAGAAGGAGGAAGGAAGACTACCTTGAAACAAAACGACGCTACTTCTGCAAGATGCAATGATGGTATAAAAGTTTAAACTCCGAACTTGCAGACAACCTCAGGTTAGTTATCTCTCTCTATTCTAACCCCATCCAAATTGGCCCAGGCAAGGAGGACCAGCCCAGGGGGACAAGTGCGCTTTCCTTTATGATTTGCTGTTTCTCTCTCTCATCCCCCTACTTCTCAACATTTGCCCACAAGAGGTCTATGCAGCAACGTCAGGATCTCTGAGCTGCTCCCCCGCTGCCCCAGGTCATTCTAGGCAGGCTGGCGGAGGCCTCTTTTTTTGTTAACCAAGCCATGGACAAGGGAGCACAGGAAGGAAACAGCCCCTCTCAGGGCCCGTGTGGACAAGGAGAGGGGCAGGATGTTCTGCTAAGCACAGACTGTGCGGAGGGCTGGCTCCTCAGGGCCCGTGTGGACAAGGAGAGGGGCAGGCCTGTGCTGCTAAACACAGACTTTGCGGAGGGCTGGCTCCTCAGGGCCCGTGTGGACAAGGAGAGGGGCAGGATGTTCTGCTAAGCGTAGACTGTGCGGAGGGCTGGCTCCTCAGGGCCCGTGTGGACAAGGAGAGGGGCAGGCATGTGCTGCTAAGCGTAGACTGTGCGGAGGGCTGGCTCCTCAGGGCCCGTGTGGACAAGGAGAGGGGCAGGATGTGCTGCTAAGCGTAGACTGTGCAGAGGCGCTGGCTCCTCAGGGCCCGTGTGGACAAGGAGAGGGGCAGGATGTGCTGCTAAGCGTAGACTTTGCGGAGCGGCTGGCTCCTCAGCTCGTAGCAGTCGGCCCCCTGGCTCCGGAGCAGCTCCTTCTCGGCGGCATCACCGGCGTTCAGCGGTGGGAAGCGGGCAGGAGAGGTGAGGCACTCGTAGTGCTGGTCCAGAGCGCGCAGGTAGGTGAGCATGTGCAGGACGTAGGCCAGCACCAGCAACAGGACCAGGGACGTGGCCAGCCCCATCAGGATGGCAGGCGAGAAGGCAGAGGCGCAGTCCCGGGCTTTGGCGAAGCGCGCCCCCTGGACGGTGAAGCCTTGGATCTGTCAGGAGAAGGAGGCGGCTGCATGAGGGTCGCTGCCTACCCCGGAGAGCTGCTGCCCGCGGCGCTGGCGGCTCTGGGCCAGGCAGCAGCCGGATTCAGTGCTGGGCCACCGTCACTGCGCGTGATCTGACAAATGTGACCGTGCTGGGGCCGCAGGGAAACTTGACTCTCCGTCAGGCCTGGCCCAGAAACTCCAGGGTGCACGGCTGTCCCAGCTCAGAAACACAACCGTGATTGCAAGGCTCGGGAACAAAACCTCTTTTACTCTGACCCCGAGGAGCGTTCCTGTAAAACCACAGCTGCACGGTGCCTCTGAACCCCACAGCGCACGTGTGGGGTTGCAAGTGTCAGCTGAGTTCCACCGAGACTTCAAGTCTCAGTTCCTCCACGCTTCACTGTTTCGAAGGGAACGATGCAAGAGGAGCCCTCGGAGGGAGGGCAGCGTGATTCCCATTTAGATAAACCATGGTGACAACAAAAGCTAACGCGGCAGGAAGGCGATGGCGTGCCAGATACCAGCTGGCAGCACTCACTAGAGCATCTGCCTAACTCACTATTCATCCTATTTTACAGATGTGGAAACTGAGGCACGGGAAAGTTAAGGTGCGTGCGCAGAGGCACACAGGCTGGCTTCAGACCAGACCCGGCGTGCGCGTCCACAGTGCCTGTGTGCCCTGCCTCTTCTGGCCTGACTCGCTCCCTCCTTCACGTGGCCTGCTACCACTCTGGGAAGAGCCGGATACCGGCCCCTCCTTGCATCCTGCCCCAAGAAGGAGAGGGGTCTTCTCAAGTCCATGGAAAATGTGAACTGTGAAAACAAACGTGCATGGATTCAAACATCGTTAGCACTGGAACAAACTTATCTCGTAATTCCATTTTCCACAAACTTTCTAAAGACTCCTAGTGGGAAGAAAAGCTTTCTCGTGTGTGCAGACAAGGCGGTTCGATGACCTGGAAGGAGAACACTTTCAACGATGCTCGGCCCCTACCCATGTGCTGCCAACACGGAAGAGCCAGGGCCATAGAGCTTTAAGCACACAGCTGCCTTGCAGGATAACCCTACACACACCGCCTCACTCAGTCACCCACCTGGCTTTAAAGGGGACATCAGAAGAACAAATACTGGGGTGGCACTGTAGCACAGCAGGTTAAGCCGGCATCCCATGTGGACGCTGGTTCAAGTCCCGGCTGCTCCACTCTCGATCCAGCTCCCTGCTAATGGCCTGGGAAAGAAGTGGAGGGTGATCCAAGTGCTGGGGTCCCTGCTCCCATGTGGGAGCCCTGGAAGAAGCTCCTGACTTCAGCCTGGCCAAGCTCAGCCACTGTGGTCATTTGGGGAATGGACTAGCGGATGGAAGATATCTCTCTCTGTCCTTCTCTCTCTGTAACGCTGGCTTTCAAATAAATAAATAAATCTTAGGAAGAAAAGAAACACCGAATTGTCCAGCAGTGCAGTAGTGAGAATCCATTTTCATGGCACAGTGGGCAGTTCAGTGTGTTCCTGTGCTAAAGTCACTGAAACCTCGCACGGCGCTGCAGACCTCAGGGCCCGGCTCGCGTGACCGCCTGTGCTCTGACTCCTGCAGGAGGCTCTGGGCCCAGCTGCACGGCCACCTGGCCACTGCCCCACATAGCGGGAGAATAGCCCCCAAAAAGCAGAATCTGAGTCGAGGTCTTCAATGGCAGATGATGACCTCATTTGATTCTGCAACTTCCCCACCCCCTGCCAACGAAACTATTCTCATGGTGACTACTCCTTAATTCTCTTTTTGTAAAAACAAAATTCTTTATTATTTGAAGGGCAGTGTGACAGAGAGGCAGGGACAAAGACAGGGAGAGACATCTTCTATCTGCTGGTCCGCTCCCCAGATGGCTACAACAGCCAGGGCTGGACCACCTCCCAGCCAGGAGCCCAGAACTCCATCCAGGTCTCCCATGTGGGTGGAGGAGCCCAGGTCCTTGGGTCATCTTCCACTGCCTTCCCAGGTGATCAGAAGTGGAGCCACTGGGACGTGAGCTGGCACTCCAATGTAGGATGCTGGCGTGGCAGGTAGTGGCTTAACCCGCTGCACCACAATGCCAGGCCCCACCCCTTAACTCTTGACAAGACACGGCTGAGAACAGCCAGTGCGCAGCCTACCTGAAGGCCACGTGGCCCGCCGTCTGCTGGACTGCAGGTACAATACAACGTAGCTGGCACACAGGAGAGTTCCGTCTGGCCCAGGGTTCTGAGCACCCCAAGCATTTCCACCATGTTCATGGCATTTACATCCCCACCAGCAGCGCACAGGTTCCCGTGTCCCCATATCTTTGCCAATACGTATTTTCTGTTCGTCTGTTCTTGGTAACAGCCATCCAGATGTGCCCAAGGGACCATCTCGTCATTTCAAACCAGGTCTGCCTCATTCTCAAAGGCAAGCTCCCTCCCCTAGCCTCTGTCCCCTCTGGGGACCCACACAGCACAGTGACTATCTGTACACGTGGAAAAGGTCAGAACGCACCCGTACCGCGGACCCGAGGAGCCCTCCTGTCGTGTGAGGGGCTGGAAGAACACACAGGTGAGCAGGACGGACGGACTAGACAGCATCTCTGGCCTGAGACACTGGCGCAGGAAGGAGCCTCTTACCTGGCCAAGCCCCTCCCAGACACTGTCGAGAGAGGTTTGGAATATTCTGACTCCCTGGCCGATGATTCGAATCCTGTGCCACAGGGGTCTTGCACAGTGCTGGTGTACTATTTCCCCGCCCTGACAGCCTCACGGCTCCACTCCCTGAAGGGAATAAAACAGTGGCCCAGCCGCGCCTCCCCCAGAAAGGCCTCTCCGTGCATGGAGGGTCCACCGCAGGCCTCAGCCACAGCGTCCCTGGGGCTGGCGTGGCTGCCACTCCCCCGACCGCTCCTAGCAATCGGATGAATGGGAGGTCCAAGCACGCCCTTGAGAGGTGAAGACGCAGAGGTGCAGGGAAGCAGCTGCTCTACCCGGTCCACCCGCCCCTCAGAAGATAAAGAACGGAGCACCAGTGTTACTTTAAGGACAGCCACTCCCGTCTCTCCCCGAAACAGCCGTGTTCCTGCCAGGTGACACCCGGCCGCAGCCTACCCAAGTGCTTCAGTTCCTTACCTGGAAGTCAGTGAAAGAAACCTCCCACAGGCTTGCCATGTCCGCGGGGTCGCTAGGCAACAGGAGGGCGTCGGCTCCCTGCAGGCTGCTGACCAGGTGGCAGTGGTACGAGTAACTGGACGGAGCGTATATGCCAGTCGCATTGAAGGTCGCACGGACAGAATTGTTGAAAATCATCTCCACCCGGTGCAAACTAAACCAGCTCTGGATGGACAACTTGTTGTAATTGGTAAGGACGAATCTGAAAATGATGACAAAACAACGATTACCCCCAAAGCACTTTGTGCTTACTGGTACAGGACATTGTCTATGAGCAGTGCGATGGTGCCCTCTGGTGGCAGATGGTGGAACCACGGTGGGGGCAGCTCTCCCTGTGTTTCCAAACAGGAGCCTCTTCTAGAAGGGTGGGACAACACCCAAAGTGAGCAGCTCAAATTCCTACAGAAGAAAACCAAAACAAAAAACAAACAAACAAAAAACTTTTTCTGTCTTTTTTGAACTCAAAACTTCATTTGATGTTTATTGTTGTTAAAAAAAAAAAAGGAGGCCGGCGCCGCAGCTCAATAGGCTAATCCTCCACCTTGCGGCACCGGCACACCAGGTTCTAGTCCCGGTCAGGGCGCCGGATTCTGTCCTGGTTGCCCCTCTTCCAGGCCAGCCCTCTGCTGTGGCCAGGGAGTGCAGTGGAAGATGGCCCAGGTGCTTGGGCCCTGCACCCCATGGGAGACCAGGAGAAGCACCTGGCTCCTGCCATCGGATCAGCGCGGTGCACCCGCCGCAGCGCGTCAGCCGCGGCGGCCATTGGAGGGTGAACCAACGGCAAAAGGAAGACCTTTCTCTCTGTCTCTCTCTCTCACTGTCCACTCTGCCTGTCAAAAAAAAAAAAAAAGGAAAAACTTAAAGACACTTCAGTATAGAATTGAATAGTGCACTAGAATTCACAGGTGTAGCTCTCTTACTGTGTGCCAGTCTCCCTTCCATATCACACATGTGTACTTTATTTCATCTTCCTATGAAATCATGTGGTGAAGGACATTACTCTCCTTGCACAGAGCAGAGTGACACCTCGTGTGCACTGACTCACGGAAGCATCAGGGCTTCACAGCCACTCCACGACCAGAGCGCTCACTCCTAGCCACTTAGCAATGCGATACTCTCCAGCCATCAAAGAACTATAATACACCTATTCCAAGATTTTTTCTTTTTCTTCCTACTTACAAATATGGATTACTGCATATGAAAAATGCCATAGCAAGGATAGATAAAACCATTAACACTGATTACAAGTGGTCCTGGGGTTATTGGTGGCTTTCTCTTTTTTTCTGAAGGAGCCTTTTATTTAAGGTATACAAACTTCATGCATTTCATAAATACAGCTTTAGGAACACAGCAATTCTTCCCACCATATCTGCCCTCCCACCCTTTTCCTCCTCCCTCTCCTATTCCCATTCTTATTTTTTACTAGGATATATTCTCAATAAACTTTACACACAGAATATTAATTCTATACTAAGTAAAGAACTCAGAAATAGTATGGAAAAACAAACTTGGGCTGGTGCTGTGGCATAAAAGATAAAGCTGCCACCTGCAGTGCCAGTGCTCCATATAGTCCAAGTCCCAGCTGCTCTACTTCTGATCTACCTCTCTGCTGTGGTCTGGAAAGCAGTAGAACATGGCTAAACTGCTTTGGCCCCTGCATCCACGTGGGAGACCTGGAAGAAGCTCATGGCTTCTGGCTTCAGACCAGCCCAGCTCCAGCCACTCCAGTCACTTGGGGTGTGAACCAGCAGATGGAAGACCTCTATCTCTGTCTCTACCTTTCTCTGCAACTCTACCTTTCAAATAAATAAAAACAAATCCTTAAAAAAAAAACTGTTCCTCAACAGTTTTTGGATGTCTCGTTTGATTTCTTCTATGATCCACACTGTTCATTTTCAGTCTCTTTGCATTATGGCCTAGCATGTGGTCTAGCCTAGACAAACTTCCAAGCACAGGTGAGAGGAATGTGTATTCTGCAACTGTAGCGTAAAAAGTTGTGTAGATTCCTATAAGGTCCGTTTTGTCTATAGTGTCAATTAACTGTTGTTTCCTTGCTGATTTTCTGTCTGGTTGATCTGTCCATTCCTGAAAGTGGGGTATTGAAGTCCCCCACTACTATTACATGGAAGTCTAAGTCTCCCTTCAGATCCATTAACATATCTTTCAAATAGCCAGGTACCCTGTAATTAGGTGCATATACATTTATAATAGTTACATCTTCCTGTTGAATTGATCCCTTAATCATTGCATAGTGCCCTTGTCTCTTTTAACAGTTTTTGTGTTAAAGTCTATTTTGTCTGATATTAGGATGGCTAAACCAGCTCTTTTTTGGCTTCTGTTAGCATGGAATATCTTTTCCAACCTTTCACTTTCAGTCTGCATGTATCCACGTATTGGTGAAATGAGTTTCTGATAGGCAGCAAATAGATGGGTTTTGGTTTTTAACCCATTCAGCCAGTCTGTGTCTTTTAACTGAAGAGTTGAGGCCATTTACATTCAAGGATAAGTAACGACTTGGCCCTGCCTTTTTTCCATAAGTATTCCTATTGTTTACTTTGGATCTCCTTTGTATTTTTACTGGGAGATTTTCTGCCCTCAGCTTATTTCGTAGTGATGACCATGTTTCTGTGTGCAGCACATACTTAAGCATCTTTTGTAAGGCCAGATGAGTGGTGACAGATTTTTTCAGTTTCTGTTTGTTATGGAAGGTCTTTATTTCACCTTCATTCATAACTGAGAGCTTTGAGGGGTACAGAATTTTGGGTTGAGTTTTATCCTCTTGGAAATATATCTTGCCATTCTCTCCTAGCCTATAGGGTTTCTGATGAGAAGTCAGCTGTGAGTCTAACTGGAGATCCTCTGAGAGTAATCTGACGTTTCTCTTGTGCACAGTTTAGAATCTTTTCTTCATGTTTTACTGTGGAGAGTTTGATTACAATGTGTCGTGGTGAGGATCTTTTCTGGTCATGTCTATTAGGAGTTCTAAGTGCTTCCTGTACTTGGATGTCCCTTTCTTTCTCCAAATTAGGTAAGTTTTCTGTAATTATTTCACTAAAAAGGCCTTTTAATCCATACATCTCCAACATTGTTTTTCAATTTCTAATTTCTTTTTTTTTTTTTTTTTTTTTTTTTTTTTTGGTCTGACTGCAAAATTTCCAGATATTTGTCTTCTAATCTGGATATTCTGTCTTCTGCCTCACCAACTCTGTGGCTAAGGCTTTCCACCGCATTTTTTATTCAGTCTATTGAATTCTTCATTTTCCAATATTTTGATTTCTCTTTAACATCTCAATTTCATGAGAAAGATTTTCATTCATGTCAGGCATGGATTTCTTTGACTTGTGGATTTCCTTCTGATCACTCTAGGTAACACTATGATCGATTTTCTGAATCCTGTTTCTGGCATTTCTTCAACCTCTTAAATTTCACATTCTAGTATTGAAGTGTTGTTGTGTTCCCTTGGAGGTGTCATATTGTCTTCCTTATTCTTGTTTCTTGAATTCTGAGGCATTTGTAGAAATACTTGTTGGGTTCCCCTCCCCATCATGATGGCTTTTATCTTTGGACTACGAATTAGTGGCCTGCTCCTTCAGTGAATACCCTGAGGCGTGTGCTGCACGTGGCCAGGGAGTTCAGTACTCCAAGGTGAGGGTGTCTCCAAGGTGACATCTAAATTGGGTATTTTGTCTTTTATCAGAGAGGAGGTTTAATCTACTCTGCTGGCATAGTCTCACGCTCGTCTCCTCTCCTCCAAGGAGACCAAGCCTGGCTGCTGGCCCCAGCAGGTACAACACTCATCCGCACTGCCACAAGAGCCACTCAAAGGGTCTGTGCAGTCCTCAGGGTGAGCGCGGGTCCTGCAGCAGAGACCCTCACTAGGGAATCAGAGCCCCGAGTGTGTGCAGCTGCCCACAGTGACTGCCCAGAGACCCAGCCACACCCTGTGCCCTCCCAGCAGCCACAGTGTTTTCCCAGTCCCAGCACACAAGGCTCCCACAGTCACGAGCACCCAGCCCCCTGTCAGTTCTCCCCGCCAGACTCAGGCATTTCATCTGAGCGAGTTGCCAGGTACACGGACGTGAGCTGGCACAGCTGTTACAAATGTTCAAAATCGAGCCCATCCTCTCTCAGCTAGTTACAGGACACCAGTAACGGGTGGTCAGGGACAGAGAAATGTGCCCCCTTTTTCCCCTCTAGGTTGGCAGGTACACGGTCCCCCAGAGGGCTCCAAGCCAGACTCAAACCAGGCTCTTCCCCACCTTTATTGCCAGTGGCTTGGACTGCTGCAGTCTGCTCTCATCGCAGTCCACAAAGCTGGGGCTGAGGCTCTCGGCTGCTGGGATCCTGTGTTGTACACGTCCACGCCCTCCACGTAGATCCACAGTCTCTCTAATTTGCGTTGAATTTCCTCTGCCGCTTTCTCCCTAACTTCCCTGAGACTGTACTCTCTCCACCTTTTTTTTTCAACTATCTTACCCTAGACTAGGACAGTAAGCTTCCTCCCTATTCGGCCATATTGCATGCGCTCTCTCTCTTTCTCTCTCTCTCTCTCTCATTTGCTACTTTTTATTGCTCAGTATTTGCTGATTTTAATGGCTTTTCTTAACTTGAAAGTAGACACCAAGATGAGGATGTAAATGCAAGAATATTTCAAATGGTTGGAGAAAAAAAAAATAGAATTAAAAGGTAAGTTTATTTTGGTGAAGAGAAATGCTGAAATCCATCCACAGGTTTGTCTTAATAAGCATTTTTCATAAACTTTTTGAAGACCCCTTTCTGTGTGTGGTTTTCAAAATTTTTTTGCACCAAAACAAACTCATCCTCTAATGTATTTTCCATAAACTTCCTGAAGTACCCTCGCACAAAGGGCACCGTGGGGTACACCTTCCAATCCAGATAGGCAGAGTAGAAAGGAGGCACAAGAGAGGAATGGAAAAGCTGCCAACTGGGGCACATCACTGAGCAGGTTTCCACCGTGAACAGGCCTCACTGCCCTTCCGAGACTGGGAGAGGGAGCTGGGGTATTTGCACACTTCCTGGACTGGGGATGGGAGGCAGGCGGCTGCTTCCTGAGCCAGAGAACGTGTTCGGTTCGGGCAAACAGAGGCTGACAGCTGAAATCTGGGCAAGTGACGCCTGCTCTCAAATGGAAAGGCCCAAGCAGGCGGGAATGGAGTACTGACAGCACCTGCTGTGTGACCTTAACACCAAAATCAGTATTACCAGAGCTAGTTTCCATTTGGAAAAAAGAAGTGTCGTGCATGAAAACACTCCCCACTTTTATCAAACAGACATGCATGTGTGTTTGGCCACCCTGTGGCATTCCAGTTCCTGATAATGCTGCCCTGTAAGAAGAGGCCTGTGTCTCCTTGTTTTCCGTGTCCCACGGGATGCAGGTCGGAGGAAGAAAGCTGGCTGGGGCTAATCCCAGCTCAAAGCACAGCGGTCCCCTTCAGAGCACGCCTTCTCACACACTTGGATACCAAGCCTACCTCCTCCCAGAGCAAGACATGGTGTGTGGTGGTTCCGGACTCTCACAAACACTTTCGCCAAGCAGAGGTGTCCCACAGGGCACGGCTTCCCAAAGGCTGCCCTGGCACAGCCTGCTGGGGCTCCAGGGGGAGTCAGGAACACAAGTGCTTATCGCCATGGACGGCTTCGTCTTATGGGAACTGAAGGACTGTATTTGTATGAGAAAAATATTAATACCTTCTCTTTGTTCTCCCCCACTCAGGAGCAGTTCCCGAACTTCCTGGATAAACCCTGCGGGCAGGTGCCCCTACCACACCTAAGCACAGCCAAAGGCCAGCCCGTGTGGCTGTCTGCTGGGGAATTCTGACGGTACAGGCGTTTACACTGTACTCTGATAACAGTGAGACTCCCTGTAAGGAGCTAGAGACCCTGCATTCACACCACAGCCTCAACAGCCAGAGCTGGCTTTCTTTATCCTCTGAATCTTCGCTCAGAAGTAAAGAGAACACGTGGTCAGGCCCATGCATTCTTCAAGTCCCTGCTGAAGGAGGTCGGGAAGGAACTGCAGGTGTTTTGACAGGAACGAAGGAAAACATTAACAGATTCCACTGCAGAACACATGACTTCTCCATGTAATTAGGAAGATTTGGCATCCGCTACATCACAGCACTTGGCTCATAGCAAGCTCTCGATACTCACGTGTGAAATGAATAAATCATATAGACTATTCCGAAGAGATGAAGCTGTAACACTCACCTTATAACAAGACCTGTGAGATTTTCTGTGCCGCCAAACTTCAGAGACAACCTAGTCAAAGAGAAACAATGCAGTCTGTCAAAATGGCTCTGATTCCACACTCTTCCCAAAAATTACTTCAAAATGGACCACGGATGCAAATGTAATAGTTAAAGCTCCAAAATCTACAGAGGAAATGAAAAAGAACAGTTTTACAGTCTTGAGGTAGGCAATGGTTTCTTGAGAAATACAAGAGGATGAGACGTCAAAGAAGAAAAACTGACAACCTGAACTTTACTAAAATCGAAGATGTTTGTTCTTCAGAAGATGCAGTTAAGGAAACAGGTAAACCACGGAACAGGGAAAAATATGGACTTTATCCAGAACAAGGCAAAGGATACTAACAGCTCAGTAAAAGTCAGCTCAACTCCAAAAGGAGCCAGAGACTTGGCCAGTTCACACAGGAGATACACAGATAGCCAATAAGCTCAGGACACAATGTTCAAAACACATAATGAAATCAAGTCAGAAACCACCATACAGAAATCCAACAACTGACTCTTAAACTCTTAGTACCTGTATTTATTCACATTTTCCTGAAAATAAACACAAGATTCCCTGGAGCAGAGTTAGGTCACTACTCACACGAGGGAATAACCGTATCAGTTACGTTTATAACCCAGTTCTTCCCCTGGTTAACATGATGAGAGCCAGATGTCACCCTGCACAGACTGGGATGTGCAATGCAGGTGAGGGAGTTTGTACAGGGGGGGACAGCACCCCCGCCTCACCTCCGGAGACAGAAAGAGAAGTATGTGTTCCCTGGCGTCAGTCAATTTCCCTCAGGGAGAGGAGGAAGATCCTAAGCCCCACCCTCACCCCATAATAAGCTGAGGAGCTGCGGCAGCCTTGGGATGGGAGCAAAGAGCAGGCCATGAGGAGACAGATGGCTGCCGGTCGAGCACCTGTGGTCAGGACTTCCTGACCCCGGAACGGCTCTGTGGTCCTGAGTCCCACTACCTCTCCAGGTCAACACGCCCCTCTGAAGAGGTCAGTGTCTTCACGGCTTATCTGTTAACGCGGGTGCCAATAATTTTATTCAGAAATGACCGCGCATGCAGAAGTGTACAAGCGTCTTCTCTCCAGTCTCCCAGTGACCACGTGACGTGTCGCTGAGGACGCGAAGCAACCGGAACTCTCAGGAACACCACTGGAAAGGTGAAAACACCGCCATGGCTTTGAAAACCAGCGTGTGAGGCCGTTTCCCTAAAAGTTAAACACACGCATTCCGTACGATCCCACCATTTACTCGTGGGAGGAAGGGCACCGAAGAGAAATTAAAATGTTCACTGCCGCAGACTTGCCCATGATAATTATTCATAGTGGCTTCAGCTGGAAAATGACGCAAAAACTAAGGAAAAAACCCATTTCCATCAGAGGGGAATGGTAAGTTGCAGGACACCCACGCAACTCAGCAATGAAAGGGACACACTGTTGATGCGTGCAACAGCACAGAAAATTATCCAAGTCCATGCACAACTGAGGATGGAAGACTGAAAGACAGTGCACACTCTGTGGTTATCTTTATACGGCGTCCTAGACAATGCCAATGAAGTGACCAGTGTGGTCTGGTCTGGAGAGCTGGAAGTGGCTGTAGGAAAGGCTAACCCAGGGGCACCAGAGGACTGGGCGTGACGTCTGCTGTGTTGATGGTGGTGAGGGTTCCTCAGGTGTGCAGATATGTCAACACTGAGCTCACTGGACATGTTAAAGATGCGCAATTCACTGTTCTTCACTCATCTTTCAAAAAGGCTCCAAATGCAGAAGCGATAAGAAGCTAAATATAATTATAATAGATAATTATATAGGGAAATGTGAGAAATCTAAAGATATAAGGAAAGTTGCTACTGCGTCAGGAACTTTTTGAAGACCCCTCAGACATCTAAAAGTTGTAACGACTCAGTTTATATTAGAAAACAAAAAAGCAAAAGTAAATAGTTACAAAATGTCTGATTACAAATGTGAAAAGCATGACACCTACACAATGTAATTAATTTGATCCCGCTTAAAAAGAAATAAAAATAGCAATGATTGGGTTAAAGTTTAGCTACACACTATTTTTTTTCTTTATTAGAGAGACAGACGGATAGAACTTCAACCCTCTAGTTTGTTACTTTAGCTTTTTGTGCCTGTAATGGCTGGGCTGGACCACAGCTGGAGCTTGGAGCCATGAACTCATCCAGGTCACGCACACCCAGGTGGAAGGAGCCCCGTCACCTGAAACACCACCGCTGCCCCCCAGGTTCTGCCATGGCAGGAAGCTAACGTTGGGAGCCGTAGCCAGGTATCAAAGCCACGTGCTCTGATATCTTAAAACTATTTATGGGGCAGGCGGGATAAGCATTTAGAAAACAAGCCATATAAACAGGTTGCTAAGAGAAGTTTTTTATTCCCTAGCATCATAAACGTACACTCCACAAAAGCACCCATAGCAAACACTTCATAAGCTTTGTACTCAGTAAAGCAAGTCTTCAAGAAGGCCTTTCTCCAACAACATGTTTGCAGCCTGCTCCAAAGGACCGAAAATACTTTAAAGAAAATGCATTTTTTGAGCAGCATTTTATAAACGTGACAGCCGCTTATTCTAACAGAAACGCCCCCAGTTCTGCCACGGAATCAGGAGAGCGTGATGTCCAGAAACTGGCTCTGTGGCTCACAAGCTCAGCCTCCAGGCAAACCCGCGTCGGGCCCACCTCCCCTCTGCCTCTGTGCCCTGTCAGGGCTGCCCGTCCTCACAGGGCTTTGCTCCAGGGGTCTTGGTTTCAGGGGAGCTATTAACATGCTCTGTTTCCCAGCAAAGAACACGAGGCCGGATTTCAACAAAGCAGTCGGTGTGCAGCCAGGCGGTGTCTCGTCGACAGGGAACGGAAGAGAAACGCAGCGGAGAACACGATGGGCTCAGCAAGAACCCATCACCCCAGGCTCCCTGCTCTCATGCGCTTCCAACAGACTCCGAATTCTCCAGACTGTCGCTGCCTACATTCAAAACACACACGGTAGCCGGGATCGTGCGTGATTTTCGGGATTTTCTCTATTTAAAAGGACTTCCGCGGCAAATCTGCGTGCCCACAATTTGCCTCCCCCCAGAACGTTTCATTTCTGAGAGCTACAACAAGTTTGTTTATTTTTTACTCCAAGCTTTTGACCTTACATGGTGATGTCTTTGCTTGGGCCGGTTCTGTGAGCAGCTCCTATTCTGGTTCTGGAGAACCTAGGATTTCCTCTCCAGCACAGCAAAGGCCTGTGGCTAATCCACGGGCACTGGCCACACTAAGCCTCAGCAGCGGGCCCCTGGAGGCCTCGCCTCCTAAGGCACAGGGCTTCCCAGGACGCCTGCACTCTCAGCCGAGCAGGAGCCCGGAAGTGCTGTGCACACAGAGGCAGTGCCCAAGTGGACAAACCATGAGCCTGTGTGCTGTGCAATCAGGGTTTCTCAGGGCAACTCCAGAGGCAACCAAGACGCGGAATCACTCTACTAGTGGCCATCCTTAGTACCAGGCGTCTCCCAGAAGCTCATGGCAAACACGTATCAGGAAAAGATTATGCGTGGACTTCATAATGTATTTTAAAATAAACTTCTAATTCCATTTGATCAGAGATTTTCTGAAGCGCCCTTGTATGTAAGGAAGGAAGAGAAGCCTAGTTCTCTGAGTAGCACGGGACAAGATCACAAAGCCAGGAACACACATCGCTTCATCTGGATTTCACACTCCTCTGAGACAGGGCCACAGGTGAGGAGGCAAAATGATGTGTTCACTTTATTTACTTATTTTCACGTCATTTGAAAGAGAGAGATCTTCCATCTGCTCGTTCACCCCCCAGATGGCCACAGCAGCCAAGGGGCTGGGCCAAATCAGGACTCAGGAACTCGGGCAGGTGCCCCACCACAGGGGGCAGGGACCCACGCACCTGCGTTGCTACCTGTCGCCTCACAGGTGCATCAGCAGGAAGCTGCACAGGAAGTGGAGGAGCAGGAACTTAACCAGGCCCTCTGACGTGGGATGTGGGCGTCCCAAGCAGCAGCTTAATCACTGCGCCAGACGCTCGCTCCAAAAATGCCATTTTTTTTAGATTTATTAATTTCTTATTTGACAGGGAGAATTAGAGAGAGAGAGAGAGAGAGAGAGGCCTTCCATCCACTGGTTCACTCCCCAAATGGCTAAAGTGGCCAGAGCTGGGCCAGACCAAAGCCAGGAGCCAGGAGCTTCATCTGGGTCTCTCACATGGGCACAGTGCCACAAATTCCTGGGCCATTCTCCCGCTTTCCCAGGTGTACTAGCAAGGAGCTGGATCAGAAGCAGAGCAGTCAGGACATGGATGCCGGTGCTCATGGTGGTGGCTTAACCCACTGTGCCACAGCACTGGCCCCAAAATGCCATTTTTAAAGATGTTTGATGTGAGCTCTACTAACACACAAGCTGTGTGACTGTAGCAAGTTTTCTTTCTTTTTTTTTAATATTTTATTTATTTATTTGAGAGTTAGAGTCACAGATAGTGAGAGGGAGAGACAGAAAGGTCTTCTGTCCATTGGTTCACTCCCCAGATGGCCACAACGGCTGGAGCTGCACCAGTCTGAAGCCAGGAGCTTCTTCCGGGTCTCCCACACGGGTGCGGGGCCCAAGGACTTGGGCCATCTTCTACTGCTTTCCCAGGCCACAGCAGAGAGCTGGACTGGAAGAGGAGCAGCTGGGACAAGAACCGGCGCCCATATGGGATGATGGCGCCACAGCTGGAGGATTAACCTAGTGCGCCATGGCGCCGGCCCCTGTAGCAAATCTTCTAAGCTCTTTGAGCTGTGATTTTCTGAGACATTTGGGACAGTGATAATAAGAGCACCTGTGACTGAGGGCACTCCCATGAGGAATAACAGCCATGAGGCCTCGGGAAACTTGGCACAGTGTCTGGTCCGTGGTCAACACCAAGGCCATCATCTCCATCCCACACGTGACAACCCTGCAGGTCCTTTTTGTAAATTCACAAAACTCACTGGAAGAACCTGGCCCAGAAGTCACGTTTTCATTCTTTGCATTCCAGGTTCCCAGACACTGCCACGATCCCCAAGCCCAGTAAAAAGCACGGAGCCCTGATTCTCCCCACCAATACTGAAGGGGCATCCAGCCGGGGACAGGCAAGATGATGCCAGCACAGTCAGCCTCTCTTCAGGCAACTGACCACCAAGAGCCCTGCAGGGAATTGCTCAGAGCCACAGGCAGAAGCCCTGGGCTCTCCGCAGAGCTGGGGTCTTTGATGGTCATGCTCTAACCGAATACAAAGCTGGGAGGACTCTGGGTGCTCACACTTAGAACGCTCTAAATTCCAAATAAAAGACACCCATTCTCATGGGAAGCCAAGACACTCTGGCAAAAAAAAAAAAAAAAAAAAAAAAAAATCACCTAAATGAAAGATCTCCGCAAGTGAGATCCCAGTGGAAAGAACGGGTCATCAAAGAAGGAGGTACCTTTCTCTGAAGGGAGGAGAGAACTTCCACTTTGACCATGGCTTTGTCTAAAAATGATCAGAGTCAGTGAACTCAGGGGGCTTTCATAGCCTTGGCAGCTCATGACAAGAGCCTAGGGTGATTACTGATGCCATAAACAAGAGTGTCAATTTGTTAAGTCAACAACAGGAGTCACTGTGCACTTACTCCTCATGTAGGATCTCTGTCCTTAGTGTGCTGTACATTGTGATTTAATGCTATAACTAGTACTCAAATAGTATTTTTCACTTTATGTTTCTGTGTGGGTGCAAACTGTTGAAATCTTTACTTAATGTATGCTAAACTGATCTTCTGTATATAAAGAGAATCGAAAATGAATCTTGATGTGAATGGAAGGGGAGAGGGAGTGGGAAAGGGGAGGGTTGCGGGTGGGAGGGAAGTTATGGGGAAGGAAGCCATTGTAATCCATAAGCTGTACTTTGGAAATTTATATTCATTAAATAAAAGTTAAAAAAAAAAAAACATTGGTAGGCAATCTTGCCAACTTAGTATTCTGGAAAAAAAAAAGACAGCCATTCTGAACAGCAAAACACTAACACTTGTAATATGGCTTTTAAGTGTACACTAACATAATCTCTTCTTAGTCACCATCAAGATTTTTTAAGTGAGAAGTAAAGATTAGGGGAGACAAAGACATTTCCAGCCAAACTATTTGAACTACACACACACACACACACACACACACAAATATGCTACAGCTTATATAAAGCATCTACCCAACAAAACCAGGCCAACACAAATGTACAGAATCCTCCGAAAGCATCGACTATACCAGCAAATGTTGAAGAGCCTTATAGAAATTGAGTAGGACAGGCCAGTTTCCCGCCGCTTGGACCAAAACAAATGGAAGCAAAAATGTTTTGCTTGGACGCCTGAAGAGAAGAGAAAGGCCCTGGACGTTGTGTGCTCTTCAAAAGGGATGCTTGTTTAATCTGCTTTCCTCAAATCAAAACTCATTATTCTAACCACTCTGAAAGGTCCTACAGGATCCCTGAAATTGCCCATCCAAGGGTCACGATTCCAGAAAAGCCCCCTGGCGTCAAACACCTGTCCTGGCTAGGGCCCGGCTCATCGGTTCCAGAAACTGGACTGGATGACCCCGCTGACACAGGTCACTCCTCCACTAGAGGAACAGACGTGGTGTGACACTAACGCTGGAGTCGAGACCAAGACTGGGATCTTTTTCTCCTTTCGGCAGAAGGAGTCTGAGAGCCCTGATGTTCAAAACTCTCATTTTCCATGTATTATTGTGACAATCAGAAATTGCCAGGGTGGAAAAAGTTGGTTTTCCAAGTTAATGTCTGAGTTTATTCTTCCATTTTCTACATCCCATTTCATTTTAAATGCTCAAAGGAACCCATCGGTTCTGTTCTGAAGTGACAGAAATCTAGATTCACAAGGTCACCAGACCACAGCAGCCCCGGGGCTTCCTCCACCCCAGGTCCACTCACGTGGCACTTTCTTCACTGCAGTTTGAGTTGACGATGTCCACCATTGCCTTCTGGCCAAAGGCTTCCTCTGCAAGGTCCAGCCAGGTCTGGTTCTTAAACTTCACGGTGATTCTTCTGGCCCAGAAGAGAATGCAGGGAATTCCATCGATGGAGACATTAACTGGGCTCTGGTGGCCAAAGGCATTCCAAGGTTGTTTCTCTAAATGCCCTTCTCTGCTCAAGGTGTCATTGAGAGCCTAATTAATCAAGTGAAAGAAGTTGACAAGGTAAGTGTGAATCCATGGTGTAGAAATGAAATGGCTAATTCACATCATGGAACGGTGGATGCAAATTGTATACATTTATTAAAAACTCCTAAAATTCACACTACAAAGAATGAACCAATTACTGCAATGGAAATGCAAATGAAAGAAGAATTAGCTAACAGGGAACAATGACCCAAACTCAGTGAGAGAGAAACCGTTCCTATAATGATCCCGTCTGGAAAATGGCAAAAATAAAACAGTATCATAATAAAAATACAAAAGAACAAGTAAAATTAGGTAGTTCACTTTTTTCTCAACTGTTAAGATTACTATAAGACATGTTTTCTGTGGGGAGCAACTGGGAGCAACTCGGACTAGACTAAGTTACTGGAATTAAGACTTATTCTATGCATCTGCTCTCCCACAATATGGCGCTGGGAGAGAAGAAAACAGCTTCTACACAGCTGCCTCCAGTTCAACCAATAAACTGTAGGACTTGCTCCTGATTGGAGGAGAGCAGCAAAGGAGGACTATAAAGGAGGAGAGAGACGGCATGCACCAGGAACATCTAAGGGGAACATCTAAGGGGAACACCTGTGCAGCCCCCGAGAGAGCCGGCCGGCAGTGTGCCGCTCCCCCGCGGAAGTGGGGAATGTGGCAGGGGGAACCGCCCTTCCACGGAGGTGGAGGGTCGGTAGCCAACCCGGGAAGAACCAGCAGCAAACCCGGGGAGGGCCGAGCAGACGAAAGAACAGCGCAGGGTCCTGTGTCGTTCCTCCACGAAGAGGGGGAGCGACATTTCCACTCAAAGTTCTGGCAATAATATGTTAATAATTAACATGGTTATTACTTGGATTTTACAGTGGTTCTGACATGACTGAAATGTTTAAGACAGGTTACAATCACGTTTCCTTTTTTTTTTTTTTTTTTTTTGACAGGCAGAGTGGACAGTGAGAGAGAGAGACAGAGACAAAGGTCTTCCTTTACCGTTGGTTCACCCTCCAATGGCCGCTATGGCCAGCGCACCACGCTGATCTGAAGGCAGGAGCCAGGTGCTCCTCCTGGTCTCCCATGGGGTACAGGGCCCAAGCACTTGGGCCATCCTCCACTGCACTCCCTGGCCACAGCAGAGAGCTGGCCTGGAAGAGGGGCAACCGGGACAGAATCCAGCGCCCCGACCGGGACTAGAACCCGGTGTGCCGGTGCCGCAAGGCGGAGGATTAGCCTAGTGAGCCGTGGCGCCGGCCAGAATCATGTTTCCTGATACAACCATACCTGTGCGACTGGTGTTGTGGAATTCCGGATTGCTGTCATACTTGCATTATTCTCTTGATCTGTCAAACAAATAATATGAGGACCATGGTTAAATGCCATCAGCTTATTAATGCAATTGATCTGTGAACAATACTGGGCCTTTTTGTGGCCCATATTTAGAATCTGCTAGTTTAGAAGATTCTCACAAGGGGCTCCTGGTACCAGTGCATTTGTCAGGGACGTCTGTGGCAGACAAAGCCTTTCTTCAATTCCCCCCACCCCCACCGGAATCACAAGGGCAGCTGGGAGTCTTACCATTCTTTATAACCACTTCCTTATCTGAAGATGTTTGAGAACTGAAATTGGAAAAAGTACACAAAAATTAAAAGGTGCTGAATGAATATCTACAATTCAGACGTTTACGTGACTTTTCAAAGACTTATATGTTCAATTATTTGAAAGGCAGAGCATCAGAGAATAAGGGAGAGAGAGAGATCCTCTGTCATCTGATTCGCTCCCTGAATGGCCACAGCCGTCAGGGCTGGGCCAGGCAGGAGCCAAGAGCCCCATCGGGGTCTCCTGCGTGGGTGGCAGGGACCCAAGTACTTAGGACATCATACGCTGTATTCCCAGACACATCAGCAGGAAGCTGGGTTGCCAGCAGAGCAGCAGGGACTTGAACTGACACCGCTACAGGACGCTGCACTAGCAAGAGGGGGTTTAACCTGCTGTGCCACAATGCCAGTCCCTTTTACGTGAAATTTTATGAAGTATATCTAGGGTTATTATATTTCAGAATAGAGGAACAGAAACTTAGCTGGTCAAAACTGCTTGTTTTTAGAATATTTATTTACTTATTTATTTATTTATATTTGAAAGGCAGAGACAGAGATTTAGAGTGACAGACAGAGAGCTCTCCCACCTGCTGGCTCACTCCTCAAATACCCACAACAGCCGTGGGCAGAGGAACCAAGCTGAAGCCAGGAGCCCAGAACTCAGTCCAGGTCCCCTACACAGGTGGCAGGGACCCCAGTACTTGAGTCATACCCTGCTGCTTCCCACAGAGAGCATTAGCGGGAAGCTGGAACTGGAAGTGGAGCCGGAACTCAAACCCAGGCACTCCCACAGGGGCTGTGCGAATCCCAAGGGGTAACTGCTGCCCCAAATGCCCACCCCAGAACTGTTCACTTCTTAAGATAGTGAATTTGTGATTTAAAAAACAATAAATGTTCTTCAAAGAAAATATGAAAAATACAAAACATTTTATAGAATAAAAATTTTAAATCATCCCTGATCCTTACTCATTGAATAACATACACAGGGTGGTAGATCCTGAGGTTTAACAAATAATAAATAATAACTAAATAATAAAACATAATAAAATAGCTTGCAGTGAAATAATTTTGTGCTACATTATATTATTAACATATTGAAGACAAAATATATACCCTTTATTATGTAAAAGACTCAACTGCCAAAAAGATATTTGTGAAAGTATAAGGATATGTAAATTATGATATATATTCTTTCAGTCTCTATTAAGACACATATATATACATTCATATTTATTGTAATAAAATTTAAAAAGACTTTTGGAAACATATTGTTTTGGAGCCTGTAAATTTTTTTACTAAAAATAATCACAAATATTTTCCCAAGTTATTATATATTTTTCAGACCCAATTTTAATGCCATGTGGTGTTACATTCTAAAAATCTATCAACATGTATTTATCCAAATTCCTATCCTTAACTATTTGTTTCCAACTTTATGGTATTATTATAATACTTCATTGACTATGACTGTAGATGGTTCATTACTATGAGAGTCCTTAGGAATGATTCTAGAAGTGACACTGCTAGCTTAGGAGATTTATACTCTTTTTTACCATGGACTATTTCAAGCATACACAAATAAAAACAGTAAAATACACTAACTATAACTAACCCACGTGGGCCTACACCCATCATCCAGTTTAGTAATTATCAAGTCATAGTCTTATTTCACTTATAAGCTCACCTACTTCCCCCCATGATATTAATTTGAAGAGAATATCAGAAACTGTATCATTTCAATATGTATATCTAAAAAGTAAAAATTTTGAAAATAACAGGACAGTTACATATAGAAAATAGTGATAATTCCTTAACATTAAGTATCTGTCAGTGTTTAAACCTCTTTCACAAAAGTTCCACGAAGATTTTAGGTTTTGGGGCTGGCACTGTGGCGCGGTGGGTTAATGCCCTGGCCTGAAGCACCAGCATCCCATATGGGCACCAGTTCAAGTCCCGGCTGCTCCTCTTCTGATCCAGCTCTTTCTATGGCCTGGGATAGCAGTGGAAGATGGCCCAAGTCTTTGGGCCCCTGCACCAGCGTGGGAGACTGGGAAGAAGCTCCTGGCTCCTGGCTTTGGATCGGCGCAGCTCCGGCCATTGCAGCCAATTAGGGAGTGAACCATCAGATGAAAGACCTCTCTCTCTGCCTCTCCTCTCTCTGTGTAACTGTGACTTTCAAGTAAATAAATCTTAAAAAAAAAAAAAAAAGATTTTAGGTTTCCTCGCTGCACATTTTAAGTTTCTCATAAGTTATATCTCTAGTATAAGGGAATACAGATCTAATTTCACAGTTCCTAAGGCCTGTTCTATCACTGTTATATAAACTCTTAGCATTTTTAAAATTAGACAATGATATAGATTATATGTCATGATGTATATGCAAAACATTATACCTTTAGAGGTACTAAATCTGTATCATAGTAACATGCTATAGAATTAATTACATGGAACCAATTACAAGCTAAATGCACCATTCCCTTTTTAGTATGATCTCTATTGTCTAAAGAGAATTTCTGAAGATGACAAACTGGTAGCAATGTTTACCAATTACCATTAATAAATTCATTCATGCCTGAAATTATTCATCTATTTTTATCAACTTTACTTAAGCATAATTTATGCACAGAAAACTGTCTCAGTACAAATCATACAATTCTATGAATCTTGGCTTATGCCGAATACCATGTCATGACACCACAATAAAGATACAAAGTATTTCTATGGCTCACAAAATCTTCTTATGCATTTGGGCAGTGGAGAGATGTTCCCTCCACATTCAGGCCCAGGCAACTTCAGACTTGTGTCATTTTAGATTAGCTTACATTTTCTAGAACTGCATATAAACAGAACCATATAGGGACTGTTTTGTGTTTGGCTTCTTTCATCTCAACATAATGACTTTGAAACTCTGCAGGTTGTTGCCTACATCAACAATCCTGCCATTTAACTGCTCAGAAATATCTCATTTTGTATGGCTATACCGTATTTTTATAGGGAATACACTGGTGGGCATTTAAGTCTTTCCAGTTTGAGGCTTAAATAAAGATTTAAGAACATCTGTGTACTGGATTTTTTTGTGAAATACGTTTTTTTCTCTTGAATAAATATCTGGAAGTAAAGTTATATAATAGATGTGTTTTACTTAAAAAAAAAAAAAAAAACTGACCCTTGCTGTTGCTCAATATGCTTGCTAACATTTGGCCATCTGGGCTTGTTTAACTGTGTGTGGGTTGCTAGTTACCAGAGGTTAACTTGCTTCTCCAAAGACTACTGAATGACGCTTAGCATCCTTCCTTGTGCCTACTGACCAGTCTTGTATATTTTCTCCTGTGATGCGTATGTTTGAATCTTCTGCTCATTTGAAAAATTAAATTCACTGACGTCTCACAGTTGAGCTGTGTTCTTGGCGTGTACTGGATACGAATCCTGTCCTAGACAAGCAGTAGAAATGCTTTCTTCCCTCTGTGTCTTGCTTTTCCGTTTTCTTAATGGTGGTTCTCAAAAACCCTGAGTTCTAACTTTCATAAAGTCTGGCGTATTTGTGTGTGTGTTTTCTTTTACGGTCTGTGCTTTTATGTTAAAGAATGTGACAAAGATTTTTCTCTTGTGTTTTTTTCCTACAAGTTTAAATATTTCAGGTTTTACATTCAGGTCTGTCATCCATTCTGAGCTGATGTTTGTCAGCTAAACATCTGTAACATTTTGGAGCCAAGGAAAAAGAAAACAAGCTATTAGCTTTCACACATTTTAAAAAAGAGAGAGAAAGAAGTACGGATTCAGGAAGTATGCTTCCCATATTCTCTCACAGGAAGCTGACAGAAGACACACACCTTCTCAGCAAGGGGGAAGCAAGAAAGACAAAAATACAGGCTCTAACAACAGCTGCTGTAACTCAGAAGAGGGGTAAAGAGAAACCTGAGGCCATCATATATGAGGAGTCCGCAAAAATTTCACAAGAAATATGTATTATGAAAAATCTGTGAGTGGGTTTCAAAAATATTGTGCACCAAAATAAACTTACCTTTTAAAAATATATTTTTAGTTGAAAAGCAGAGTTATGGAGGGGAAGGGGACAGACCTTCCATACACTGGCTCACTCCCCAAAAGGCTGTGATACCTGGGGTGGGGCCAGGTCAGAGCCAGGAGCTTCTTCCGGGTTTCGCATGTGGGTAGCAGGGGCGCAAACACAGCAGTCCTCTGCTACTCTCCCGGGCTCGTTACAGGGAGCTGGATCAGAAGTGGAGTAGACCAGCCAGGACTGGAACAGGTGCTCAAATGTGATGCTGGCATCACAGGCGGAAGCTTAATCCACTGCACCACAATGCTGATTCCAATAAGCTTCTTTTAATTCCATTTTCTAGGAGCATTTTGAAGCCCCTTCATCCATTAGAACTAGAGAGACCCAATCCAGATTGGAGCAAGAGGACAAAAGGGACAAGACACAGAGGGAAGCCCAGGGCAAAAGGACATTCTGAGAGACTGTACTACAAGTCAGAGGAGAAAGATTAAAGGATTTAAGAACACACATGTTTAAAAATGGCAACTGGGGAAGGACGATTTTTAATTCTAGCACAAAGGACACAGTTAAACACACGCAAGAAGCATGGTTTCCCAAGTGGCGTGTCACGGAATACACAGTCACAGTGACGCGACGCTGAACTGAAAGTAGTCATGTCCCCATGGGGAGGCGCGGGGAATGAAGGGAGGGAAGGTAAAGACTCTGGAGACAGAAATCTTGTTGACAACAACGGAAAGTCGTCAGACGAGGTCTAAGACACAAACGCTGAGACATCGCCCATGTGTACTGCTGGGACGCTAGGGCAGTGTGGTGGCTGGTGATTGCTGCCAGCTCCTGGCTCCCTTCTCCATGGAGGAGTTCCCACGCCCGACCAGAGGACCTGCAGCCGCCCCCTTGCTAGGTAAGGCTTTTGTCTTGCTTGGGCGAATGGAACATGAGCAGAGGCAAACCAACAGAGAGACAGAGAGAGAGCCCCCATCCACTGGTCCACTCTCCAAACGCACGCAGCAACCAAGGCTGGGCCAGGCTGAAGCCAGGAGACAGGAGCTCCAGGGAGTACCCACATGGGCAGCAGGGACCCAAGGCCCTGGCCCATCATTCCCTGCTGGACCAGAAGGCGGAAGCACACCTGATCCCATGCATTCTGATATGGGATGAAGGCACCCAAGTGGCACCTGAGCTTGCTCAGCCACCACATCTTCCCCCATATTCAAGTTTCAAAAGGCTTAGCGAACAAAAACATAAAAAATTATGAGGTCTATTTTAACTAAATAATATAAAATATATCAAGTCATTTGGAAATATATAGTTAGCAGGGGAGTTTAACAAATGTTTATTAAAAGTGAATGAATAAGCTATAATATTGCTAATATTCTTGGCTTCAGGCTCTGCTCCACTAATTCAAGATTTCTGTGTACCCACTAGTAGACAACACAGGCTCATTATCATTGCAGTAAGTCTATGGTCTCACCACACAATAATGCTGCTTTACTTCTACTTTACACATACTGCAATTCAGGCAAGTCTTACTTGCATCCATCAGCAAGGTAGAGTTATAGACAGTGAGAGAGAGACAGAGAGAAAGGTCTTCCTTCCGTTGGTTCACTCCCCAAATGGCTGCTACGGCCGGCGCTGTACCGATCCGAAGCCAGGAGCCAGGTGCTTCTCCTGGTCTCCCATGGGGTGCAGGGCCCAAGCACCTGGGTCTTCCTCCACTGCCTTCCCGGGGCCACAGCAGAGAGCTGGACTGGAAGAGGGGCAACCAGGACAGAATCCAGCGCACATATGGGATGCCGGCGCCGCAAGCGGAGGATTAACCAAGTGAGCCACGGCACCAGCCCGGATCAGCCTGAACTAATAAGGCTTCATGGGAAGCCATAATCTAAACCAAAGACAAAATACCTGTGAATTTTCCTGTCACAACAGTCTCAGAACTAAAATAGGAACTAAACACTGTTCTGGTTAAAAACTGTCTATGCTCTTTTCTCTCTGTCTCTCTCTCTCACTGTCTAACTCTGTCAAAAAAAAGAATAAATTAATTAAAAAAAAACTGTATGTTAGGTTGGCACAGCAATTACGATGCTACCGGGGACGCACATATCCCTTCTCAAAGCCTGGATCCAAGTCCCAGCTTTGCTTGCAAGTCCAGCTTCCTGCTAATACACATCCTGAGACGCAGTGGTGACGGCTCAAGCACTCGGGCCCCTGCCAGCCACGTGGGAAACGCTGGCTGCCTTCCCAATTCCTGGCTTCAGCCTGGACCAGCTCGGGCTGTCGCAGGCTTGGAGCATGAACCAGAAAGTGGAAAACTCTCTTTTTCTTGTTCTGTCTCTGGTTCTTCCTCTCTCCCTCTCTGCCTCTCAAGTAGATAAAAGTGAGCAAGTTTAAAATTGCACGTGCGAAGAAGCCGAGGAACACAGGTTTAAATGACACCTACATTGTCACTTTAATACTCGGCCCTTTTTCTCGTCAGAGAGACCTGTGCCATCCCCGGAACGCAATCAAGAGCCTTAGGTGCCAAGGCCTTGAGGAAGGTGACGGGGACGTGAGGCAGCTCCTCTGCGGTGCACATTCCCGACCCGGCCTGCTCGGAACGACCTCTGGAGGACCTCGACGTGCCTGCTGCGCCAGCTCGGCTCCCCCTCTCCCTCCTCTCCGCTCCGGCTGCACAAGCACGCCTCAGGCACTCAGCGTCTTGCCCTCCCGAAGCCTCAGCACAGCTGCTAGCACAGCCTGCCATCCTCTCCATCCACCTGCCTCACCCCTGCTCTGTTGTCACCTGGGCAGCTTCCAGGGCACAGCTCCACGCCACCGCCTGGCGACCACAGCCCCTACACTCCCCAGACTGGTTCAGATGGGCTCACTGTCCCCATGCTTTCACTCATGCTGAATTTCAAAGTCTCTTTGTCATAAGAGACATGGGACAAGGGACGAGCCCCTCTCCTCTCTGGTCAGTCAGGCACAATGGTTCTTTGCATCTAGCACAGTACCCAGCTACTGAACAGTACCAAGGATTCTAAACAGGTGTTACATGCATGAATGAACTGTCACGTTAATGAACAAACCCTAAAAGCCAAGTGGAAAATGGAAGATTATAAAGGATTTCCTTTTGGTTCAAAAATAAACCCAACTTGAGGGGGAAGTGTGGGAAGGAAGAATGGAGACCCCTTCCAAGCTGGGAAAATCACACTCTGGGGCCAGCAATGTGGTGGCACGAATGAAGCTCGCCTGGGCCCCTGCACCCACCTGGGAGTCCTGAAAGAAGCTCTGGGCTCCTGGCTTTGGCCTGGCCTGCCCTGGCCATTGTGGCCATTTGGAGAGTGAACCAGTACATGAAAGACCTCTCTCTCTCTCTCTCTCTCTCTCTCTCTACCTCTTGCTCTCTCGCTCTCTCTCTGTAACTCCGATTTCAAATAAATAAATAAATCCTAAAAAAAAAATCATCCTTCCTAGAACCTGAAGAACCTTGAACGGCCCCATACAGCTGACAAGTACTTCTAATTTCGGATCTGTGATTTAAAAGGACACTCGCAAACATCAACAGTTGCTTCCTTCATCATGAAAAAATATGCCATATCCGAAAATTCAAATGCTCCTTGATTCATCCAGCTTCTGAGGCTAAAATTACTGAAACCTATTAACTTTTTCTTAAAAACAGAATTGAGATTTTTAAAATTCTTGGCATATATTTGAGCAGTGCAAATACATACATCAGTAAGTCCTCTATAAGCCAGGTGGGAAAACAATCTTACGTTCTGAACACGACGCAAAAGAAGTTGCTATTGTAAAGGGAACCTGGAGGACAGCATCGACTGATTTGGAAACCAGGACAAATAATCATTTCAAATGCCTGTCCCCACAGCTGTGACTTCAGGACTGTGTCACACAGGTCTCGCCAGCTCGTCCTGCTTGCTGCTGCCCTTGGGGTTCACACGAATCCCTGCTGCACCGGCTGAGCCAGCACACCATGAGCCACTGGGAGACAGGACAGAAAGAACTGCTACTCGGATCCTGAACGCTCTTAACATAGATAAATCTCTAGGTGCTGCTTGCCACGGTACGGGAAGAAGTCAAAGGGGCAACAGAAGTACAAAGGGTCTTGCTTGGTCATTTTGAGTATCATGCACAGTCACCAACTTCTACCAGTTATCTATTTCCCAGATTTTTAATTCTGTGTCCTCCTCTCTTCTGACGTGACCATGGCAGGGAAACTGTAAAATGAACAGTTGCGTGTAAGTATGAAAGAACACTGGTTTCAGGAGTCAGCTCACAGAAACACACTCTGACACATAATTCAAATGTTTCTGGAGTATTCTGATCAAACAACCCTTCAATTCATGATGAAGGCTATGTTCTTATCTCATAATTATAAACCCCAGCTCAGTAACTGTGGCAGCTAACTGTATGCTCTCATCCGGCCTGTACATCTTAATCATAAACAGATGTGGGTATGAAACAACACGAGGACACTCCGAGCCACCCATGCCTGCACGGAAGGGCGTGACGAGACGCGGCTACTCACCTTGCATTCTTCCTGGCAAGGATCTGCTCCAAAGTCAGGGAAAGCCCCATGCACAGAGAAGCAAGTGCAAAATAAAACAAGATTTTTCTTCCCATCAAGAAATGAATCTGTTGTTCGAACCAAGCACATCTGTGAACTCATAAACACAAGCAGAACAGAGGCAGTGCTTTGCCTGCCATGTGACTGGCAGTACATTCAGCCAATGAAAGGACAGCTTTCCCAGGTATTATGTGGGGGGAGACGGAGGGGAGGGGCCTGACAGCGCCTAATTTAGAGCATATGATGAAACAAATGCAGTATTCGAGCTTTTAATGATTCATTTCAATGAAAATTAAGGAGCAGATTTTTAGAGATGTGTTTACCAGCTCAGCTTTTTTTTAAAAATTTGCATTGTTTTGATACTGTCCTGTAACTTTTAGTAAGACTCTCATGGTCCTTTTAGGAGCTTTTAAATTCTCCCCTAAATTAGCGAAATGTGCCTTTTCACATGCGTGTTCCAAATGGACAAGTAAGCACCAACCTCAGGAACTTACCTACATCCCCACAGGTGCACACAAGTGCTGAATCCTTGACTCTGCATTGGCAAGGAGGCAAGTGTGTGCAGTGGTGAGCCCTGCTCTGCAGGTGCACGACCAGGCCGGCCCTCTCCCTCCTCCCCTGCACAGACAGAGGGGACACAAGTTCCTGCAGAGCCGCTGGCACATGAGATGAGCTCCTGTGGGAAAGCTTCTTATGACTTCAATACCCATTTTCATTCCTTCCCTGCCAGACTCTTCACCGACTTCACCCCCTAAAGAGCCTGAAAAACAGAACAAAACAAGATCCCTAAGATCTGTACATCTGAAAAACTACAATGAAGGTGCCACAATAAAGAAAATTCTCCAAAATTAAAGTATCAGTGTTTTGGGCTTCTGGAATCTTGGTCTTTTAAAGGCAGATGGTGGGGAGATGGTGCAGCCAGGGAGGCTAGGGACCTGGCTCCAAGGAGACACTCCCTGCCTCACTGTCAGCTTCCCACTTCCCACACAAACACAGCCTAGGGAATGCAGAAAAGGATCAGAGGTGAATAAGGCACAATGACCAGAGGATGCAGGACTAAGGAAGTTACCAAGAGCAGTTACAAAACAGAGACAACCCCTGGCCCTAGGTCTTGATATGCTCCATCGTCCCCTCCCCTTCTTCTCTCTGAATGTTCATCCTACCCAGCATCCACTTCCATCTTCCGTCCTCACCCCGAGTCTGCGGGATGTCAAGTCACAAGACAGGTATGGACAAGACGTTTAGCCTGAAGTGGGATTGACGAACTCTAGGATATCCAGTTAAGTGGTGAATTTCATAAAAGCAACAAGTAATTTTCATATTAATATGTCCTGTGCATTAAGTGGGACACACTGTATCTTTTTAAACTATTCACTGTTTACCTGAAAATTGAATTTAACTCGGTGCCCTGTGTTTTTATTAGCAAAGTCTGGCCACCCTGGTCTGCTGCGCACAGCTGCACAGGAGTGTCACAAAATGCTTGCCCCGACTCAGCAGGTCTGGGGAGGGGTGTGGGACTCTGTGTTTCCAACAAGCTCCAGATGGCTGTTGACGCCGCTCGCCGGAGGACTGCCCTTGGAGCAGCCCAGATCTAGAACAGCATGGTTCACTAGACCTATCAGGAGAGCCCCACATGTCTTAACATTTTCTAGTAGTCACATTAAAAGGCAACTTCTACTTTAAGGCAACAGGCAAGATTGATGTAAATAATATTTTTATTTAACCTAAAATATTTTCACTTCAAACATAATCCACTTTCAGAACTATTAATGAGATACCTTCCGTTCTTTGTCTTTCCTAAGTCTGAAATCTGCCATATAATTCACCCTTTCATTTCTCCATTGACATGAGCTGCCTATCAAGTGTCCAATAGCCACACGTGGCTCATGGCCACCATACCAGAATGGCTCGGCCAGCTGCTCGGGCAAGACCTGGAAGTCTCCTGCAGTAGCAGTAACAGTGGCTGCTCCTCAGGTCCCACCCAGGTCAGGAGGGAGAGCCCAAGCCCAGTGGGGTCAGGCACTGTGACAATAATGACACTGAACACTAAGAAACCACAGTGTTAGGCACCTAGAGGTCATTATGTAAGAATCTTTTGTGGAAATACACTTGGGTTACATTCTTAAACACATGACGTTTTTATTTTAAATCAAGTATCATTTGAATACGCTTTATGTCTTGGTGATCCTAGAATTTTCACACAGCATTCTTTGCGCTGTCGGAACATGTTCCCCACTTGGTTAAGAATATTCAAGGCACGACGTGAGTGTTTGCCTTAGCAGTTAAGATGCCCATGTCCAGAGCAGAGTGCCTGGGTTTGATTCCTGGCTCCGGCTCCTGACTCCAGCTTCCTGCTAATGCAGACCCTGGGCGACAAGAACGACGGTTCAAGTAGTTGGGTCCTCGCTGGGCCCCACATGAGAGATCTGGACTGAGTTCCCAAGCCTCGGCTTCAGTCCAGCCCTGTCCTGGCCAATGCAGGCATCTGGAGAATGAACCAGGAGTTGGGAATATACTTGCTCGGTCCCCATCTCAAATAAATAAACAAATTCTAATGAGAAGAAAAGAATATTCAAGACAGAATAATTAGTAGCTAGTAGATTTCACACGTGTATTTTAGAAGAGCTCACACTTTAGGATGTGATTATCTGAGAATAACTTACTTGTGACGCTGGAGAAAAGCAGTGACAGTAACTGTTAATGAGAATCTTCCTGCAGCCTGCAAGGCCTCAGAGGGTTTCAGTGGCCTGGCACGAGGCCTGCCTGCTTGGCCTGCTAAGCAGACTCTGTCAAGACCCGTGAAATGTCTGCGATTTCACCCACTGGGAAGCTAACACCTGCCAGTTTTACAGCTGTTGGCTGAAGACAGGACTCCGGGTCAGAGACACAGGCCTTTATTCTCACCCCACAGCGGCAGTGTCAGCAGGTCCTGTGTCACAGGGCAATGCAGGAACCCTAACGGATGCTTGTCTCCATAGTGAGTTTTTGTTTTTTATATTTATTTTATATTTATTTATTTGAAAAGCAGACAGAAAGAGACAGAGAGAGAGACAGATTGAGAAAGGTTTTCCACCCACTGGTTCACTCCCCCAAATGCCCATAATAGCCAAGAATGGGCCTAGCCAAAGCCAGGCACCCAGAACTCAACTTGGTTTCCTGCATGGCTGGCGGGGGCCCGATGACTTGAGCCATCGCCTGCTGCCTCCTGGGGTGCTCATTAGCAGGAAGCTGGCTCAGAAGTGGAGCCAGAACTCCAGCCCAGGTACTGTGATACGGAACACAGGCGTCCCAGGCAGTGTCCTCTCTGCTCCGTGAAGCCCCACTGGTCTCGTCTCCGCACAGAGAGCCTGAGCTTAGCCCCGGCCGTTCACGACATCAAGCCCCGCTCCCCCAGCTCTGAAGGAAAATGCGATCTCCCAAGGCAGTCGGCAAACCTCCCTCCACTGCAGGAGACAAGTTCTACTTCCACAGCTGCTCACTACACAAACACCCTGGGAAACTATGCAGGAAAAGCGCACGGAGTGACCCACGCACGAGACAAGCCGGAGACAGAGAGGCAGACGGGGAACTTCCCCTGCCAGCCCCAGGAAAGAAGAGGACGCGGCACACTCTCACCACCCTCTCCTCACTTGGAAGGAACTAAGGTTTGCTGCCTTTTGCTGATTTACTGTGTAGAACTGAACGCACCCTCAACTGCGGATCTGACTATCAAACCCGTAATCACACCTGACCACAGAGAACTGTGTTCCCACGGGGAAATTCAGAAACGGCTCAAACTTCAGAATTCTAATATTAATTTAAGAAGCATCTAGCAAGTGTGCAGAATCTATTCATTCAATGCTCTTGGGGCCAAAACGGCATTTGTCAGATGTTTAACTCAATTAGAACGGTCTTTGCATAGTGACTTCAAATCCAGAGCCATCTGCCTCTACAAAGCCCTTCCTGGCATGGCCCCTGCTGGCCTCTCTCGCTTAATCTCATGCCAGCTCCTCCTCCTGCCCACAGTCCAGGCACACTGTTTGCACCCCATCAACAGCGGAGCTCAGCTGCACCTCAGGGCCCTTCCACATGCCATGTCGTTCGTGGGGATCACCTCACCTCTCTAACTCTCCCTGCTTTCTCTTCACCTTCACTGTTACACACAATCTGCACTGAGACTTGCTGTTTTTTTCCCAAGGTTTATTTATTTTATTTGAGAGGCAGAGTTACAGAGAGAGAGAGATGGAGAGACAGAGAGAGAGGTCTTCCATCCACTGGTTCACTCCCCAAATGGCTGCAACGGCTGGAGCTGGGCCAATCCGAAGCCAGGAGCCAGGAGCTTCTTCTGAGTCTCCCATGTGAGTGCAGGGGCCCAAATACTCGGACCATCTTCCACTGCTTTCCCAGGCACATTAGTAGGGAGCTGGATTGGAAGTGCAGCAGCTGGGACTCGAACCAGCACCCAAATGGGATGCTGGTGCCACAGGCAGAGGCTTAACCTTCTACACCACAGCACCGGCGCCAGGAGTCTTGTATTTTCTTGCTCCCTTATCTGAGCCCCATCAGAAGGCTCCAGGACAGGCACTGGTCTAATCAGCCAATCCCCACCCACAGCCCAAGGTGGAGCTCAATGCAATACACAGAATGAATGATTCAACCTACCCCAACACCACTTCATTCAGTCCCACGTCATGTCACATTGTTCTAACCCACAGGGTCCTGAGGCAACGTAACTGGAAAATCAATAAATCCACGCATTCCACAGAATCTAGGAGTTTGAAAATGGAACTGGACAAAACCCAGGTGACACCAGTTCACCACCAAAACACCTCAGCGCACACTGCTTACTCCTCGATGGTATCTCCTTATCAAGTTCAGGGCCAAATCACTGCCATGACTCCAACCAATTTTCATCAAACCAGCTCGGAGGTGACTGCAACCAGAATGGTAAGTCTAATGATTACAAGTGCTTCTAATTTAAACATTAACCACTTTGGGTGTCCATTGACTCTCTCAAATACATGAATACATCTTAAAGTGCGGGGGGTGGGGTTTGAAGTGGGTTTCTGTTAGTTGTGGTGCATTAGAGCCCTCACTGGAAGGATCTGCTAAATGACACTTGGTGCAATGCGAGAGGTGGGGCCCCCCCTCAACACCAACAGGAATCCGAGTCTTAGATCACGGAAATAAACTCTCTTGGAGAAGAAATGCCCTACATACCTGGGTTAGTATACCTGCCCCCTTTATACCTGGGTTAGCAGTGTAAATGAATTATCTGGACAGAGACGAAGCAGAACTCCTCACAGACGGCTCTGCATATGGTGCAGTGAATCCCAGCTGCTGCTTTCTGAATCATTAACGTAAATTTGGAAATGCTAACTTACAAGCCAACTAAGTATTTATTTATTTTTTAATTTATTTGACAGGTAGAGTTATAGACAGTGAGAGAGACAGAGAGAAAGGTCTTCCTTCCATTGGTTCACCCCCCAAATGGCCGCTACGGCTGGCGCACCGCGCTGATCCGAAACCAGGAGCCAGGTGCTTCTTCCTGGTCTCCCATGTGGGTGCAGGGCCCAAGCACTTGGGCCATCCTCCACTGCCTTCCCAGGCCACAGCAGAGAGCTGGCCTGGAAGAGGAGCAACCGGGACTAGAACCCGGTACCCATATGGGATTCCAGTGCCATAGGCAGAGGATTAACCAAATGAGCCACGGTGCCAGCCCCCAACTAAGTAAATTTAAATATTCATGTGTATTGGGGCTGGCGCTGTGGTGCAGCAGGTTAATGTCCTGGCCTAAAGCGCCAGCATCCCATATGGGCGCCGGTTCTAATCCCGGCTGCTCCTCTTCTGATCCAGCTATCTGCTATGGCCTGGGATAGTAGTAGAAGATGGCCCAAGTCCTTGGGCCCCTGCACCCACGTGGGAGACCTGGTGAAACTCTTGGCTCCTGGTTTTGGATCGGCGCAGCTCCAGCCATTGCGGCCATCTAGGGAGCGAACCAACAGATAGAAGACCTCTCTTCTCTCTCTGCCTCTCCTCTCTCTGTGTAACTCTTTCAAATAATAAATCTTTAAAAAATAAATAAATAAATATTCGTGTGCACATGTGCACACCACTCCACAGTAGGCAACACGACCATGTATCTACGCCCAGGTTACACATCTCACTCACTGTGGTCGTCCTCAGGGCCGTAATGATCACCAGAGCCAACCCACCTTTGCGGCAGTAAGAAACCCATCACTCTCCTCCTGGGAGGCTCTGCAGAGCCAGGAGCCCCGCATTTCTTTCCTCCTCTATTTCCTCCCATCACCATCTGCTCTTGTTGCCTTCAATTCGAGGGGATTTTGTTTTATATTAAAATCCTTAAAGCAACAAAGTCTCAATAATACAAATGGCCACAATGGTGTGAATGGTTTATTTTGAAAGGGATTATTATGCTTGCATAATAATCCCTTGCATATAATTTCATTTAAATAATCAAGAACTAATCCTGGTAAGTCTTCATTTTGCTGTGGAAAGAACTGGGAGCCACTCTCTGCCACTCCCCATCACCAAAGACCAACTGTCCACCCTCCAATCAGACTGTAAAGACCTGGGTCCACCTACCCCATTCTTAAACCTCTCTGTGCAAGGACATCCTAAAGCTTAATGTTCCACTGTAACACGGAATAGTATCTTTTCTTTCCTAGTGAAGAAAATTCCCTCTTCTACCTCCAAGGTGCCTGCTGAAGCGGAAGCCCGGTTCCTTTGTTTCGTCCTCAGCCAGGCCAGGAACATCGGAGAATAACCCCTACTACACATACTAAAATTACACTCCCTTCCAGGGACTCCACACAGGGCATTCAAGAACAGCTGTGACGGCTCCCTCTAGCTCTTACATGGATGTTTAATGATAATAACTGGATTTTAAAGATCAGGCCTGAATACGAGTAAGGTTATATGGCACCATACACTTATTTCTTTAGAATGTATTCTTTGGAATCAATGGAAAAAGAAACAATTACTGCCCCAAACAGTCACTAGAGATGAGAGATTCCGTTCACCTCGGATAAAGGAAAACTTGTGTTTAACAATTTCATCAGGTAAAAAGCAGCTCCCGACATCCATCCTGAGAGGTCATCGCCACCCTCACTCTCAGCTCCTCCTCTCCCGCTGCCAGCTCTTATTTTAATGTGTCCCGTTACCACAGCAACAGCGGCCACGGTTTTTACAGTTAGATCACTAGCCGTCATCTTCAACTCTTAGTTACATGTTAATAGAACTTCAGTGTTACTGATCCACACTGCTGGCCTCCTCTCCCACATCACTACGCTTTGGCCAGCCCGCGGAGCAGGTGTCCGACCTCTCTCGCTCCGGCCTGTCCACGGTTCCCCCCAGGGAGCGCACCCAGCGCTGTGGCCCTGAACACCACGTGTCCACGTCGCATCACTCACCAGCCCCCTCCTTCGCACCCTACCTGCTCCTCTCGCGGTATGTCCCACTCCCTGGGTGCCCCAGGTGCCCCGCCGCGGTGCTACGACCGAGCTCCGGCCCGGCACGTCGGGTCAGCTGGACCACCAAGGGTACACCTGACCTAACCACTTCTTATCACGTCCACGGCGGCTTCGAGCGGCCGCTCTCACCGGGCTACCGCGATGCCTGCCCACGGGCCTCACGCAGTCTCGGGTTCTCCCCACGGCAGCCCGAGCGATCCCAAAAATGTGACTTCCGCGCTCAGCACTTCAGGACAGCACCCAGTCGGCAACCACAAAGGCCTTAGGGTGGTCGGCCAGGTCTGAGCGACCCCCGGCAGCCCTCGGGCCTCGCCGACCCGCTGCTGGGATCGCTCAGATCCAGAGCCGGCCCACGCCCCGCCCGGCCCACGCCCCGCGCGGGGGGCTCTGAGCTCCGGACCACCTGCTCGGAGCCGCCGGAGCCGGGCTTCCTCACAGAGGCGGGCACTGCTCGGGGCCGAGGGGCCTCCCCGTGGGAGCCCCCGGACTCGGACGGCCCACGGCTGCGAGACGATACCTGGTCGGGGCCGAGGGGCTGCCCGTGGGACGCCCACGGCTGCGAGACGACCCCCCACGGCTGCAAGCCGGCACCTGGTCGGGCTCGAGGGGCCTCCCCGTGGGACGGCCCACGGCTGCGAGACGACACCTGGTCAGGGCCGAGGGGCCTCCCCGTGGGACGCCCACAGCTGCGAGCCGGCACCTGCTCAGGGCCGAGGGGCCTCCCCGTGGGACGCCCACGGCTGCGAGCCGGCACCTGCTCAGGGCCGAGGGGCCTCCCCGTGGGACACCCACGGCTGCGAGCCCGCACCTGCTCGGGACCAAGGGGCCTCCCCGTGGGACGCCCACGGCTGCGAGCCGGCACCTGGTCAGGGCTCGAAGGGCCTCCCCGTGGGACGCCCCACGGCTGCGAGCCAGCACCTGGTCGGGGCCGAGAGGCCTCCCCGTGGGACCCCCCACGGCTGCGAGCCGGCACCTGGTCAGGGCCGAGGGGCCTGCCCGTGGGACGCCCACGGCTGCGAGCCGGCACCTGCTCGGGGCCGAGGGGCTGCCCGTGGAACGCCCACGGCTGCGAGCCGGCACCTGGGCAGGGCCTCCCCGTGGGACGCCCACGGGTGCGAGCCGGCACCTGCTCGGGCCCGAGGGGCCTCCCCGTGGGACGCCCACGGCCCCGAGCCGGCACCTGGGCAGGGCCTCCCGTGGGACGCCCACGGCTGCGAGCCGGCACCTGCTCGGGGCCGAGGGGCTGCCCGTGGGACGCCCACGGCTGCGAGCCGGCACCTGCTCGGGGCCGAGGGGCTGCCCGCGCGGGAGCCCCGACTCGGACGCCCCACGGCCGCGTGACGACCGGCACGGGCACCTGGGCTTGGGGGAGCGGCCAGCGGGTGGAGACCTGTCTCTGCCTCCCCAGTAAATAACTCACTCCTACACCGCGGGTGTCCCCGGTTACACCTGCGCACACGCACAGCACCCGTAACTGCTGCGTTCCGCCGGCCTGCGACACCGGTGGTGAACGAACCCTCGGCTCGGAAATCTCTCGTCTGCCATTTCCCTTTCCAGGACACACAGGTTTACAGAGCCGGGTAACGAATCGCCCCAGGTCGCAACAGCGCGGAGCCGGAGCTTAAGGCGCCCTCTGACTCCGCCCAGGGTTCTCTCAGTACTGCCCCGCGACGCGGCACACCGCTCCGGAGGGCGGTCGGGGATCGAACTCGCAGACCGCGCGCCCCTCCCCTGCCCCACGCGGCCTAGGCCCCCGGGGCCGCAAGCGCGCGTGCGCAGCACGGGACTCGCGCAAAGAATTCTGGGACTGGTAGTCCACGATCTCCCTCACCCCACCGTTCACCGGAACGGGAAATAACGATGAAAGCTACAGAGCTTGGAATTTCGTGAGATTCAGAAAACACGCAGATTCTTGCGCAGGGAAGTGGTGCGGACGACTCGTTTTCGAGGGCAAGGCCACGGGCTCGGGTCCGGCGCTGCGCGGGCAGCCGCGGGGTCCTCGGCTGGGCGGGGCTTGCGCGCAGTGGCTTGTGGGGGCCTGGCTCTGCCTCGCTCTTTCGCTCAGGCCCGCGCGCTGGCAGGATGGGTGAGCTCTCGCTGCGGGGTCCCGGCGTCCACGGGCGGGACTGGGGCTCGGGGCGGCGTGCGGGTGGGAAGAGGGGCGCGGAGCGCAGGCGGGCGGCCTCGGGGCGGCCGGGCCCGTCAGCCGGGGAACCCCGCTCGGGCCGGCGCATGGCGGCCGGCGTCGGCGGAGCAGCCCGGGGCCGCCCGGGGCTCGTCGCGGCGGGGCAGCGGCCTCGTGTGCGGGACGCGCGCTCTCGACGCCGCCCGGTCGCCTCTGAGGCCCCGCGTGGGCTCTGAGCGCGGGCGCGTTTGGGCCTCGCAGGCAAGTGCCGTGGGCTCCGCACCGCCCGGAAGCTGCGCAGCCACCGGCGCGACCAGAAGTGGCACGACAAGCAGTACAAGAAGGCCCACCTGGGCACGGCGCTCAAGGCCAACCCCTTCGGAGGCGCCTCGCACGCCAAGGGCATCGTGCTGGAGAAAGTGTGAGTGCGGCCCGCGCGACGCCGCGTGGCTCCCCTGCCCTGGTCCCTGGGGGAGGCGAAGTCGCGGCCGTGCTGACACAGGGAGGGGACATGGTGAGCCCCTGCTGCGCTGGGAGCCCGCTGATGCTGACTCGAGTTAGCCGGTGTGTGCGCTTTTGTAAAGAGGTCATGTAGGGCCCGGCGCTGTGGCGTAGCGCTGCCTCCAGTGCCAGCATCCCGTGTGGGCGCTGGTTCGAGCCCCGGCTGCTCCACTTAGGAAAGAAAAAAGAGGTAACGTAGCAGAGCTCACATTAGTGGTAGAATCCTGAACCTCGACTTCCTTATTGGGGAGCTGCACAGTAATGAATTAGGAATTCCTGTTCTGCCAAAATGAAGACACGGCAGAAACTTGATTTCCGTTAGCAACTGGAGATTGACAGTAGCAGCGGTTTCCAGGCGCGGGCAGGGCTTGCTGTGTCGCCCTCGAACGCCAGCTCTCACGCTTGCTGTCTCCGTTGCAGAGGGGTTGAGGCCAAGCAGCCCAACTCCGCCATCAGGA